ATAGATAGATAGATAGATAGATAGATAGATATAATGTTACAACAATTTTGGGTTTATTGGAGGTAAAGAAACCAAGTGACACTCAGAGAAGTGGAAGAAACCAAGCATTATTATTCCAGTGGACCCAGAAGAGCTGCATACTCCAAAGTCTGAACCCCAAGTGTGGGGGTTTATGGGCCTTATATAGGGCCTTTGGGGAGAAACAGGAAGCAAACTAAGGAACAGAAGTGGAACAAAGACAGTTACCCAAACATGGCAGTTGGCAGCTCTGCACATCTGGGTAGCTGTGGCTGGCTGTGGAGTAAGATAACAGGATGTGATGAAGCTGTTTGTTTATCATACCAAGGTGCAGCTGGTATGGGAAAGGGAGGAAGAGAGGGTGCAGCAAGAGAACATCTGGGTTGAAAAGTTCCATTTTCCCCTAATAATATCACTTATGATATGCTAACTTGAATTCTTTTTCAAATATTCCCAGGAGTGGTATAGTTGGATCAAATGGTATTTCTATGTGTGGTTGTTTGTTTATTTTTGAGGACCCTTCATACTGTTTTCTGTAATGGTTATACTAGCTTACATTCCCACAAACTAGGTAGAACAGTTCATTTTTCCTTGTATCTTTGCCACCATTTGTTGGAGATTAACCTGGCCTCTGGCCCCCAGCCCCCAGCCCGCAGCCTCCAGCCCCCCGCCCCCAGGTGTCACCGGTGGGGAACCAGACCACTCCTCCAAGCTTTACTAAAGGCAAGAGCCCCCTGGCTGCCCATACGTTAAACTAAACTCTATGTCTCTTTATCATTCATCCTCATTCATCCTTGGGTCAGGGGAACAAACTAGTAGCAGGAGTAGGTCCCTGCAAGTGGCATCTTGAGTGGAGTGGGCCTGTTTCCCCATGGGTGAGTGCCTGGGAATGGGACCTGGTACCTGCGGTGTAGGCTGGTCTCTGACAACCACTGTTTTTTGTATCCATGATAATAACCATTCTGAGTGGGCAGAGATAGAATCTTAGTGGAGCTTTGATTTGCATTTCTGTGTTTAAGGATGTTAAACATTTTCTCATATACTTATTGGCGTTTGGATTGCCTTGAAATTTCCTCTACCAGATCAGTTAATTAAATTTAGCCTCCCATACATAAAGTCTTGAGACATGAATGAAGTTTAGAGATTTTTTTTTTTTTTTTTTTTTGCCAGAGTAACATGCATGGCCTCTAGTCCAGTTCCCAATGGAGTCTCTGTTTCCATCAGTAAGTCTGAGTCTGGTCTTCATTATCTGTGTTCTAATCAGCATTATGATATTCTGAGACATCTAATATTCCATAAGTTCTATTTATAGTCTTCTAGTATTTCTCTAGCCCCGACATCTTAAAACCTTTCCAAACTCCTGCAAAGCATTTCCAAAGATTTCTGAACCACATATTTAGGTACAGTCACAACAATAACAGAAACTCTGTGGTACCAAATTTCTGTATTGGTTAGCTTTTCCACTGCTGGACAATATACCTGACACCTGCACCTTTGAGAAGGAAGGTTTTATTTGGCTTACAGGTTTTATTTGGCTTACAGTTTCAGAGGATTCAGTCCATAATGTAGCTAAATTGCTTAATTCATGGTGGCCAGGAAGCAGAGCTGGGGTAACAGTGCCAGAGAAGGAAGAGCCAGGCACTATATATAGAACCCAAGGCCACACCTCCATGACCCATGCAGACACACCCAAAAGGTATGCTTTACTAATCCCCTAGGCAGCTTGCAAACTAAACAGTTAAGTTTAACCATCAACAGTGGCCTTTATCATGATGCTGTTTATCAAAGCCTTAAGATTTTGATAAAAGACTTTGATTCCTGTGCACTTCCTTTTTAAAATTGAATTAAAATGTTTATGAGCAAGACAAAAGGTAAATTATTGATTACTGTTGGCTTGATCTAAATTCATTCTTTTGATAGTTTGTGTTGTGATTTGATTTGATTTTTTATTTTAAAAATAAAAGGAGGAAAATATTAACAGATAGACAACCTTTTACAAAATAGCAAAAGAACCGTACAGACAATACAGAATTACAAACAAAGAGGTAGG